TAGAGAGAGAAAACAGCCTGGAATTGTTTTTGGGTTTTATCATCCAATTGGAAGAAGAAAGACATGAGAATCCCCTATTTGAGGGGGTTTAAGGAGAAAATTGTTAGGATGATTTTTTTTATTTCATTTTTTTCTATTTACTAGAATAAAGAATTCATTGAAACTAGAGAGTAAGAAAAGCTTTAATCACTATGAGTCTTCATTTTCTTATCTTGCTCATAGTGTACGGCTTCTGATTTGTTTTCCTTATCTACTTTTGGGTTTGTATGACTTGAATTCTTGTCGGGATAATCGAAACCTTGATGGCAGAAGTCAATATTTTGCTATGATGGTTTGGGACAATTTAAAGCATTTGAGCGAATTTATTATGTAGATAGGTTTTCATGGAAGTCACCAATATTTTTGTACTTTTTTGTATTAAAAAGGTCGGGGGTTTCAAAACGCACAATTTTGTCCTTTTAGTATTAAAAAAAAAGACCAAAAAATGCCCTCAACGAGGAGGCATTTCCGCCCTAGGCGGGGCACAAGCCCTGGGAGGCCTCTAGGGCTAGGCGCTGGGTGCCTGCCTAGGCAGGCTCCCGAGCGCCTAGGCCGCCTAGGGATATCGCGCCTAGTTTGGCCGCCTAAGCCTGCGCAATGTGCCCAGGCTTTCTAGAGCGCCTCAACGGCCGCCCAGGCTCTAGGTGGTCCGCTTTTTAAATCACTACTAATATGTACATCTATATTGCTATTAAGTGGGGAATCTTTAATCAACATACGAGGACTATGGTTCCACAATTTATTGGTCAACTTTAATGTCAAACATGAGCCCCTACACATGACTGTGGTTCATGGGTCCCGTTGGATTGGTTTGAGAAGACAGTTATGGATCATGGATCCTAGCACAGGTGAAGTGCCCTGACAGTCACTTATTTAGTACCAATCCACTTCTAGACGTATTTATGTGTTATTAAATTTTTTAAGAACTCCACAAATATTGTTTTCAACATTATTTCTGTTTATGTGACTCTTGGATATTTTCAATATTCTAAAATTATTTTTAAATGAATACAAACCCCAAACAGTTATTTCTGAAATTTTTCCACAAAGTGTGTTCTAGAAATTTTGTTTAATAGTGTTGGGACCCAGGTGGGGGCCTAAGAGATCAACTCACACACATGTGCGGCCCACATGGGCCACACACCCCACAATGGTAAGCCCAAGTTTTCCCATTAAATTAGCCGGACTAAGACAAAATGTATGGAATGCAAATTTAGTACTAACAGAAGCAGAAACTAATAGTCAAGAAATACCTAAAAGAGATTGTTTCTAAAATTTAGAGTCGATAATCCAAAAGAATGGAGAGACTAAGGAAGATGTCGCGCATAGAATTAGAGTTGGGTGAGCAAAGTGGAGATGTGCAACTAGAGTCTTGTGTGATTGTTGCATATCATTGAGACTGAAAGGGAAGGGAAGTTCCATAGGATGGCTATAAGACCAGCTATGTTTTATGAAATAGAATGTTGGGCAGTCAGGAAACAACATATCCATAGGATGAGCATAGCTGACATGAAATGTTGAGATGGATGAGTCGCAAGACATGAATGGATAGTCAGCATGACTATACATGAGCGAATTTAAGTGTGGCTTCAATAGGAGATGAGATAAAGGAGAGTACACTTAGATAGTCTAGCCATGTACAGCATAGACCTAACTCCGCACCGCTTAGGAGACATGATTTGATTCGATTAGAAGGGCAAGGGGAAGATCCAAAAGGACATGGATATAAGTAATGAGAAAAGATATGGTGACTTTTGATCTTATTAATGATATAACCCTTGATAGAGAAGAATGGAGGAACAGGGTTCATGTAGCTGACCCCAAATAATTAGGATAAAGGCTTAGATGACGATAATGATGATGATGATGTGAGGTGTCAATTTTATTTCACGAAAAGTATCCTGAGTTAAAAAATGTCTTGAATAATCTTAGTAAAATTTATTTTTTTTAAGATATTTATGGGATCCAAATTATTTTGACTGGGAAAAGTCTAGATAGATTAGAAGTGAATAATGGGCCAATATTCAGGGGATAAGATTCCTAATGTCCTCTCTAAATCATGAAGGCTGATTTCAAGGATGGATGGATCAGATTATCTTTCTCACCTCACATATTAACTAAATATTTTGCGATAATGTTGAATCCTAATCTGATTGGAACACCCTAGGGACCTTGAAGCCTATATAAGAGGGACGA